AGCTAGAGTATATCCTACGTTGCTAGAAAACAATTCCTGTGGAGCAAAACTGAATTCAGCTCTTCGCTATGGTTTGGGGAGACTTTGATCAATCTGTATACTTGCATGTAAAAGAAAGTAATGATAATGGAAGAGGCAGATCTTGAAGACATGAGATAGCTAGATTAGTTACTGGAAGTTAATGCAATAAACTTTATAGACCAGTATGAGTGAAGGGAGTAGTTTGCCTCTGCTCTATCCCCTCCTTGTTCCCTTAGATAATCAGTAGTGTTGGGACAGAACTGTTTCCATCCTCTTCAGTTTGCTCATTCCAGTTTTTCTTAGGCTGTGCTTATTTTTCCCTTCAGAACTTAGGATTTTGTAACTAGTGCACACCTACCCTGTTGAAATGAATTGTTTCTTACACCAATAAATGCCTTAAGGATTGCCTAATGCCTTCAGAGGAAGAAAGCCCTCCTAAGGAGTTGACATTTTCTCATGGTATCCAGTTGAGCCCATTTAACTGTATCTACTTGGCCAGGCTTTATTACTGCTTAATAAAATATGTGTGTGATTACCTGAAACTTACTGTATACTCCATGCCTTAATTAAAGTCATATGCTTTGGCACTGGGTCAGAAAATCTAGTTGCTTGTTGAACAGTACATTCCTATTCCTTGTTAGCAAGAGATATCTGGAAACGTGCATTAAAAATAGTTCAGTCCTAAAAGATTTGGGCAGGATCACTGTTAACCCTGTTTATTTTGGTATTGATGGTGTATTACCAATCTTCTGACCTCCAGATGATGGTATCACAAATGCAAAAACACTGCTTGTGTTTTTAGGACTCCAAGTCCTAAACTTCCAAAACATGCTTGTGCATCTCTAGCATCTTAGTGCTTGCTGGGGAAAAGAAAATCACTGAATTTTGTGGGCCACGGATATGACCCATACAACTCTTCCTCTTCTTTGCAAAGCCGTAAAGAAAGGCAGTAATTTTCCTCTGGTTCTTCGATGATTCACGTGCTTTGTCTGTGAACGCTGCCGATTTGAGACACAGGTTTATTGTGATATAGCCTTGTCAAGCCTATAGCATGTTGTTTAGTGCTTCACAGAGTCACGTTATGACTTATGCCTACATGGAAGATAGATAGTAAAAGTATAACAGATAAGATTACAAGCAATTTGAGCAGCTTTTATAAAATGTTGCTTACAGATTAGTTTTCAGAATATTTTACTTGCCTGTTTTGTTGAAATATTAACTACCGCTTTATAGGTTTTGTCATTGTCACAACGTGGCCAAAGGTCAACGTAAAATATGTGCAATTAGGTTGAAGAGCTGGCGTAATCAGACTCCTCCTCCCATATACCCCTGTATGAACCCCTTTCCATGCCTGAAATTCTTCGCTCTACTTCCTTATTCTTTGTTAGTCATGAAAATGCCTTTTAAAACTTTATGGAAAGTACAGTGAGAGTGCATGGCAGAATGGGGAACGTGGTCTCAGCTTCCTGAGATAAATGCTGGCTCGTGTGCCCGTTTACGTTTTTAAATTATTTTGTTTAGCCCCTGCATGGCTGGATGGTCAGAAAGGTACAGATGAAAGGGAAGCGGTCTTTCTGAAACCTTTTGCCACCATGCCTCTCGACATCTGTTTAAGGAAGGGATGCCAGCTCTCTTAGTACCTAGTCTGCTTGAATGACAGGTAAAATGTAAGCCTAACTGATCATTTCTTTAAAAAAATATTATAATAATGCTGGTGTGCTTCTCAGGTGGACTACTCACGTCATGAAGCCTTTGAACTGCATGAGTAAAGGGGATGTATTGGAAATTACCATGGATAATCAATACTACAATTAAAAAAAAAATTGCTGTCAATTAAGGTTTGGTTTTACTAGCCAACAAACATGAAAAAACAGATCTGTGCTAGGTGCAGGCATGGGAGCATGCCTTCTTCGGTATTTTAATCCAGCTCCTCTTTAGATGCCATTTCCTTTGGAGTTCTTTGCTGCGTAAAAGCTTCTGTAATATTTGCTACCTACTCCCAGCAGGTAAATGAATTTGTCTCCCTTTTCAATAAGGAAGAATGCCACTATTCAAACTTGCCAAATTCACAATGAACTTAGAAAAGGCAGCAGCAGAATCTGGATCGGTCTAAAATTAGTATGAACACAACCTAGCAGGACTTACGAAAGAACTGGAAGACCTTTCTGAAAGGCTCTTGTTATTCTCTGGCTCTTGTATTAGACACGCACTTGGAGTGAGATGAAAGTGCTGCAGGAAGACTAGCGTTATGCTTACCACAAAATTGGCATAATGGAACAGTAATTCTCTATTCCTTTAGATAAAACCTGCCCATTGTGCCTCTTGCTATTGCACTTGAATACTCTAACTGCTTTTTCTGGCATGTTTAAAATAGACTGTTCTTATCTGTGTCAATTACAGCTTCAAAGTCTACCTCCATCTATCATCCATTATTCCTGTCTTTTAAATTATCTGATCACACCCCATCATCTTCTACTTCAAGAACAACTTTTTCAGTCCTCTCTTAGAGTCTCGCTCAAATGGGCTAAATCTCAGATACCCTCTTTTGTCCTGCCTCTTTATCCTTTCCAGTGACAAATGCTCCCAGCCTGGTGGCATCCCGCTTGCCTATGCGGGCTGCCCCAGTGCATCATGAAACATCCTGGTGTGATGAACTGCCTTCCTCTCCGTGCCTCATTCTGCTACCCTGTAACTGCTATTAAATGAGGTGTTTAGGGAAATTGAGTTAAATCCTTCATAGGCAGTGACAGGAGGGGAAATTAAGCATAAGAAAATGCTAGAGACTTTAAAGCCATCTTGTACAGGAGTGTTATCCACGACCATTAGTCTGTAATACAACACACATGTTCTGAATGATTTCTGAATAATAAGAGCTGATATGTAAACATTTAAATTCTACTGAGTGCAATTTTGCCTGAGTCTGCCAGCAATTAAACGTTTTATGACTAGTCTGTAATTAAAATAATTGCTCCTACTCTGGAACCTATTGTAGGTTTTACTCACCCAGGTATTTTGTAGGTTTTCCTCACCCAGAACTTGTATTATGAAAAGTGGATGTGTTTTGTGTTTGGTTTTTTTTTTTTTTTTAATACACAGTACTTAACTTCATATTTATGATAAACTAATAGCCCTTCAAGGATTGAGTTGAAACCTCAGGCACTAAAGCAAAGTAAGAGAACCACATCCCTTCCCCTCCTGATGCGAGTTCAACGCTGTACTAACTGCTGGAAGGAGGCAAATGAACTCTGCCGCGTGCAGAGCTTAGCAAATCCAAACCCTGACTGGTGGAAAGAAAAACCTTTATAAAAACAAGGTGCTTAGGGAGAACTTGAATAAGTACGTGTCTGTGCCATAATTCATAACCCTAGGCAGTGCATCTCAACTCCTCCTGTTAATTCTGAGTGGGTGGAGAAACGCTTTCTTGAGTCCTTTTTGTTCTGAGCGATTTAATGCTTATAGATTAATACTTGGAACTTAAAACGCTGCTTATAGCACTTGCGTTCAGTAAGTTATTTTAACTTCTCTCATGCGATTTAAAGGTTTGACTAGCTCAAAAGCAAATTATAGTATTAAGTTGTTATTGAAGTCATCAAATCTGAGAACTCCAGTAATCTTGGGGAGCCGGGGAGGAGGAGAAGCCCGAACCAAAAAAGATGCTTTTGAATGGAAGAACAAAACAACACGCAATAAATGCCCTGGGGGTACAGCTCGAAGGAGGGTATCGGCAGGAGAGAGTGCTCAAGGTGACGTTCCCGTGCTGCGCTTTTAGCAGAACAGTGTGTTGGGTCACGCTCAAACAAGAGTTGCTGTTACGATGTGCTTTAAACCCCAAACATGTCATCTTTTTTCTTAAGGCTCATTTTTAGGTTCACCACTTAATGATCTGGTTTCTGCTCTAGCCCACAAAGAGTTTTTGTTGCCACAACTGAAGGGGCAGTGAACTGCAGCGTGGGGACTTCTTGGGCCAGCTTTGCTGCCAAAGCCAGCATCTCGTGGAACCATAGCCCCAAGGGGTTTTGTCCTGGGATACGAGTTCAGTCACACTGTTTGCATAGATGTGAATATTCATCCTTCTAGTACAAACGTTGTGTAATCTGACTTTTTATAAAATGCTTTCTTTTTTCTCCTACGTGCTTAAACACATTTCGATTGACGCGGTACAGTACGTACGTCTGCTTAGACTTTGTGGCACAAAGGACAGGGAAATACAGAGGAAGCTTGTCTTACCTGGTTGGAATATATTTTAATAATTTTAGTGTATGGTGGAAGATCTTGTACCATTCTACTTTCATGGACTTCAGAAGCCTCATAGGATGTGGGAGTAAGAGGCTCTGGTCTTGTGTGCAGAAAGTGAAGATGGATGCATATGCTGTATATATCTTTATTAGAAGTTTAAATATTTAAATATCAATCCCCAAAGTTATACTCCTAATGGCTTATTTTTGTTCATGCTTGCTTGGAGGAATATCTTTGTTATAAGATGGTGTGATAGCTACTGCAAAGTAACCGGCAACTTCCAAAAGTCTAAACGGAGATGTCTGTGTGGCCAGTGAGTAAACGGTAATTGATGAATCATCTTCCTGGCATAGTACTGGAATATCCTACGCTGTTTCTGAAATGGAACCTGCATTAAATTTCCCAGAATTTTAGTCTTGTGCTCAATGTTCTGAGGATCTCAGACAAATACACTGATATATTTTTCTGTGGCTTCGTGTAGGACCACAAACTGGAGGAAGTTAGGGAGTACAGTTAAGCATCGTTTAAATATGAGGAGTAACTGCATTTCAATGGAAAGTCCAGGGGTAGCAGGGAATGTGGAATAAAAGACCCTACACTAGGCAAGGACAATGGAAAGCACTAAGCAGGAAATAGGGCATATAGTTGGGGGGGGGGGGGGGGCACAATATCCTGAAAAATGCTATTGAAATTTTTAAATGCTTGCTTTTTGTTGCAGATTAATCAGCCACTCGATGGGGATTAACAGTGGAGCACCTCTTTGTGTCGCCTTTCCACCTCTCTGTAGCAAGAATAACAACTTCAGCACTTCTTCAATAATAATTATGAAACTGGTATTAACTGAATGGCAATTATGGATTTTTAACTCTAACTCACAGTAAACCAGCAAGCCATATGTTGAAATTCCTACCAAATAGCTTTTTGTTCTTAATGTCTATACAAGAAGTTGCAAGATACCTGTTTGTACAAGAGGAATATAAGCGTTACTTGCCTAAGGAACAGAAGCTGAAAGAGAAGACACGCTAACTTGTTTGTGGAGTTATGGTAGTATTATTTATAGAGATATAACAAATATATATATTTTTTATGGTAATGAAAATGGCTCCCCAGAATGCTGACTCGGAATCTATGCAAGTTCAAGATCTACCTGTGGCACAGCTTCAGAAACCAGAAAACAAGGAGAATGAAAGTAGGGAGGAGACCATTAGCGAAGGATCCATAGACCGGATACCAATACGCCTGTGGGTGATGCATGGTGCAGTAATGTTTGGCAGGGAATTTTGTTATGCCATGGAGACAGCTTTGGTAACACCCGTATTGTTACAAATTGGTAAGTAATTCTCATTTCTGTTAATCGAAACTTTCTATATCTTTTTTATTGACTGAAGTCAGAAGAAGAGGGAAGTGGGGTCTGCCAACTGAAAATACACAAGGTAACAAGGATTCTGTTTTTTTGTTGTTGGCTGTGCCACGGATTCAGTTGTGTAACCATGTTTAAGTGGGAAGGATTTCTATATGCATTCGTCTTCTGTCTAATATTGCTTCCCTCTCTAAAAATTTTAACCTCGTTTAAGTCTAAAATTCTTTACTAAAAGGTAAGTGTCCTAGAAACTAGAAAAAACATTAGACTATAAAAGATTGCAGTGAAGCTTTTTTTCATTTATGGAGAAATGCTTGAGGTTACAGTACTTTGGAATGAACAGTTAGATAAATTGGTTTTTCCAACTACTAGTGAAATATTGCATTTATTTCAAACCACTGGTGAGTCTTGTTCTGTGCGATTAATGTGTTAAGTTTATAACACATGAACACATATGAATGAACCATGATACCAATAGCTTTAGATAATAAGGGGGGAGGTAATGGGGTTTAGAATAGGAGTAAACTGTTAAATTTCATGTTTAGTACTGTAATTGGGTTTCCAATAAACTGCTTACTGTATTAACGGTATCTGGTATTACCTTTATCAAAGCCAGAAAATCATGTTCTCTATCAGATATCAGAAAATATTACATGAAACTGAATGGAAGTACCGGGTTGAGCGTGCTTCCATGAGTGAATAAGTCAACAGTGTGTGTGCACTGTGTAAGTGTCTATATAATATATGCATGTTATATGCTTGCTAATGTTTGCTTTGGCGTATACATGCAGTTGTTGTACCTTACAGCATGCGCAGCTGTGGCCGAACAGAAACACTCAACCAACTCTCTAAAATAATGTTCACTGAATACTATTTACAACATTGTTTAGAAATTTCAAGGTTAGCATCTCAAATGAAACATCTGTATTTTTATATTTGATGTGACAAAAGGGCATCAGAGATTGAACTTGTGAGCATGCAATGTACAAATTCTTTTGTGCAGTCTTTCCACAGTTAAAAATGTGTTTTCCTATGAAATTACTAGTCGGTTTATTTTGAATCAACAGAGGGGTCAATAATCAGGGCAGTTAGTGCCATGAGAGATGCTGATGAGTTATTCCTCCAAGTTTTCCTGAAAATTTTCATTTTCAGAGCTCATCAAATGTCCTTTTTGGATCTATTGGTGGCATAGTTGAAATAACTTATAAGCGTTCCCCAAATAGGAGCTTTCTGATCAACCTGACTTGCTGAATTAAACACATGCAACTTCATCTGGGAATGTTTATAATGTCCATAACTTGTTTTGAGGTTTTGTCTTTTGGGTAAGTTGAGATTTAAAGACTTAAGTAATTTGTACCAGCAGCATTGGTTCAATTACTGTCTACCATGAATGCAAAACCTTGCATCCTGCTTTGCATGGAGAAGACCCCCAGTTTTGTAAGTGACCTGTGTTTTTTTTGTTCGCTTTCTTGTTTGTGCTGGCACGTGGATGTTTAAAATGTATAGCTGGCTAAGCTGACTTTACCTTACCATAGAGTAAGGTCAGACAGTATAAATAAACCATCCTCTTAATTACTGACCAGTCTACTAGTTTACATTTCTTTTGTGAGCTCCTCTAGCGGATCTGTTTCCTCCAGATAATTGAGAAATATCTCTTCCCTTCCTTCCCTAACCCCAGTGATCAAAATAACATTGGGATTTGGGGGAAGGGAAGAAAAGAGCTCTCACTTCTAGAAAAGCTAGCAAATCGACAAAACCATGCAAAAGACTGCGGGGATGCAATGATGATGTTCCATGCTGTAGAGATAAGAAATGGAGGTAGCCGGTTGCAAATGTTAGCGCTTTGGGAACTAATTGAGCTGTTTTGTGACTGGCTCATGTTCCCTCAGCAGGGGAATAAACAATGTTGGATTCACTGTAGGGTTAAGTTATTCACGGGTGACTTATCTAGCCTGTTTGGTAATTACCTCTTACATGGTTCTGTTTACCTTTATCAACCTCAACATCTGTCTGCCTCAACATGAGCTATATTTATCCCTCACTGGAGGGGGTTGCATATAGCTGTCGCAATGCTGTAATATTTCCTTTGCTTCTTGTTTTGGTAAAAGCAATGTTCGGTTGTTTTCTGTGAGATTAAACTGGCTCGAGAAACTATTTCTGAGAAGTGGCACCCAGGGAAGTCTGGTGACTCGACCAACTAACTTTGCTTATAATAAATTGAAGAACCAGAAGCCTTTTGGGTATGCAAAAAAGACTCTTCCTTACAGATGTATGTTGAATATTAACAATTAAGCTTTACGGTGTGTGCTTGTATTCTATACCTCAGAGAAAACTTTGGTCACTGAAATACTCTGCGATTCTTATCTGATACCACCATTCAAACCTTAGGCATGTTAGTATGGTGTTACATACTTTCTGCTTGCAGGTATTTGACTTTCCTAGCTGTTGTGTACCCTGGATCAGAGGTGTGGTTATGATCTGGCAGATCAATGACCTGTCTTACTTATTCCGTGAGCCACGAGATTTCAGCAACTGAAGGAGATAGTCCTTTGGATAGTCCCTTTCCAATTCAACAGTGGTTGAATTCTCGATGTGTTTAAATTTCCTTCTTTAAATTAAGTTTTGAATTCTTAACAAAAGAACTAAAGGCAACAGTGAGAGCTGCTTGGATCGATGGATACTGTGAATTGGAAAGGTCTGGAAGGGCCCAAGTTGCTGTACCCCTACCAAAATAAGTTCTGATTTGTGACTTCAATCTTTGTCTTTATTGCTCTGCTTAGACTGATGTTACATTGCCTTGTCAGAAACGCAGCTACAATCTATAACAGCCTTGTAGTCATAACTGGGCTTTAGTAACTTAGCAACAAGAACAACCCAAATATATATTACACGTTTTTTTTATTCTAACTTGCTCTTTGATTTCTTGCTATCTGCAGCTTAAGAATTCAAAATGAAGCAGCTAACCTGTTTAGAAGAATTCAGAGGATATAATAATATGCCAAATACAAGAAGTGGCAGAGTGGCTCCCGAGGAAATTATATTAGTTGGCGCTTTCACAAGTTTTGATCTCTAGAAATCTTCATTAACCTTTTTTAGAGACCTGTTCAATCAGCAGTTCCTCCCAGCCAGCATTAAAACTTTTCTAGAAAATAAACTGCTGGCACCTTCAGCACTCTAGGTTTACTTGTTCATCAGTCGGAGATTTTTGAGACACAGTGATTTCTTGTTACTATTGAATATGTTCTGTACATTAACACTACTCTTTGCTTCCCCTGTCACGTTTCAGCCACATACTATAAACTCCATAGGAGCAAGATCAGGCCTTTGTCTTCTGAAACATCTGGTGCTTAATGCTGCTTATTGGTGAGAGGGACTTAAAATCCCTGCTATTGTTTATAAATGACAGTGTATTTTCTTCCATCATTAAACATGGCTTCTAAGAATTAAATCTCTCAATCTACTTCCAGTTCATAACAGTTCATGGAAAATTTGGGTACATTTTAGAAATTATTTTGCAAGGGGTTTTGAGTGGATAAAGGTGAGGAGAAACTAATGACTGGTATGGTGTAAACTTAGAGAAACTGTTAGCTTTTTGAAGAAGCTTGTTCAGTGAAATCACAATACATGGCTTCTGTTAGCAACACTTGAAACCGTTAATAAATAACATAATTTGGTAATTTCAGATTATTTCAGTTGTAATTCAAGCACAATTTGGGTGGTAATGCAACCAGGAAATCCATTTCAGTTCTTCTGAAAAGTGGGATCCATGTCCCTGTTTCATTAGGACTACGGAAGAAAAACAATCTGTATTCTGTGACTTGGGGTGGCTGTTGCCTTTCAGCATGAAAAACTTGCTGTCTGACTAATGAGTAGTGGTAACTGTAAACACGAAGTTTCACGTTTTATATTTAATAGGATAAAAGCTTTGCCAAGGCTTTCTGTTGCTTCAAAGGATCTTTCCAATGCTATTGAGTGGTTTATGAATAGTTAATAAGCACAAAAGTGACTGTCAGCACCAGAACTGTTCCTCATTCTCCTGCATAAATTAAATATATCACACTAGTGCTTTTAAAAAGAAACTATGTACATTTACATAAGGAAAAACATGAGCAGTTTACATGTGCTGCTTACCTTTATAATGTCACTTAAATTCAGGGATGTTTCTCTGGTACGGTAAAGGAATAGCCTCGATTTTTATGCGTTTCATATCTGAGTGCCTATCTCTGATGGCATTACTTTGTTTTGCTGTGAGAGTTAATAGAGTCTTGTAGTAAACATTAGCTAGTCTAGCATTAAATATTGGTCATTTTACGCTTGACCCTGAGCATAGTGTTCTTTTTAGGCAGTAACACTAAGGAATAGCATTTCTGGAAACTGCATATTTCAGTGCTAATTAACAGATTTTAATAAAGAGAAAGGCTGAGCTAAGCAGAGCAGAATACCATAGGTTATTTTTGTTTGGAAAAGAAATTATTTCTCATTAAATGCTCTCAAATCAGCAAAATACTGTAGTTGCTGATGTCTCATATGAGACATGAGATACGTTTCCTGCGTGTCTCATACATGTAGAAAAGCTGTTTAGGGGTTTGAGCTGTCATTTCTCAGTTAAAGCATTTAGACATAATATCTCAGAAAAAAAACTATCTAATATTCAAAATTCTTCCAGCCTAAAGCTTAGCAGATCATGCTTAAAGGGTCTTGAAATGTAGTTCATGTGAAATTGCCAGTATGGAAAAAGTGTGTTAAGCAATAGTTCAAACTGCTGATTCTGAGAAATCTCAAAGTGGTAGCTGAGAAGTCATTAGGCTGAAGAGATTTAATATTACGGAGTCAACTTGTAGCATGAAGTGGTGAATCTCCCCATTGAAATTTAGTGTTGATACCTGTCTGAGAAGAATGCACATAGGTAAAGAGGAGATTATGGAGACGCATTTAGAAACCAAGCATGAAATGTTACAGATAAGTTAGCT